AATTTTTCTGAAGGGGGTTGTGATATAAAATACTAATTCTCTTACATTACAGTAAATGCTGGACAATTTGCTTCAAAGATGAAGCAGAATCATAAGGCAGCAGTGACGTTATTCTACACAAAAATACTGAGAAGAGCACAGGCATTGCCTGCGAGTAACAAGAAAATTTTAATAAAACTGGAAATGAAAAGACACTAATATATTGAATATGAAAGAGACAGTTGATCTTTTGGGGACATTATTAGGAAAGACGTCTGGGAGAATTGACATTTACATGACATATTCAAGCAAGAAGAGTGAATGTATAAAACGTGTCATTTACTTTTTGTAAATGAATACAACAAAAAGGATTAGGAAGGCTTATTGATTACTTTTTAGGGTTTACAGGTTATTTAAAGCTAGAAAATATTATTTTTAGATTGTAAGAATTATCGTGAAATAATAATGACTTTCTGATATAAGCCTACTAATTAATAATGACCTACTGACATAAGCCTATTAAGTAATAATAATTTACTGATATAAGTCTGCTAATTAATAATGACTTAATGATATAAGCCTACTAAGTTATGATTTACTGATATAAGCCTACTAATTAATAATGACTTGCTGATACAAGCCAACTAATTAATAATGATTTACTGATATAAGCCTACTAATTATCAATGATTTACGGATGTAAGTCTACTAATTAATAATGATTTACTGATATAATAAGACTACTATTTTCTAATGATTTACTGATATAAGTCTACTAATTAATAATGATTACTGATATAAACCTACCAATTAATATCAATTTACTGATATAAGCCTACTAATTAATAATGATTTACTGATATAACCCTAATAATTAACCATGACTATCTGATAAAAACCTACTAATTAAAAATGGCTTACTGATATAAGCCTACTAATTAAAAATGGCTTACTAGTATAAGCCTACTAATTAATAATGATTTACTGATATAAGCCTACTAAGTAATAATGACTACTGACATAATAAGTCTACTAATTACTAATGATTTAGTAATATAATATGCTTACTAATTACTAATGATTTACTGATATGAGTCTACTAATTAATAATGACTTGCTGAGGCATAAAGAGGCACAAGAATTGGTCATCAGTTATGAACTGTTTATGTTATTTGCATGAAGAGGAGTGGTTTTATTGAATCAGTTGCTAAATCTGCTGCTAACAAAGTAAGTACACTCTGTCGTGCCAGGCAATTTTTTTCAACAGAATCTGTCTTACACATTTATAAATCTAGCATTCGTCCATGATTTGAATATTCCTGCCATATCTGGTCTGATGTTCCTGCTAGAAATCTCGAGATTGTTGACAGAATTCAAAGAAAGGTCTGTAATATTACTGGTCCTGACCTAGCATCTCGACTTCAATTACTTTCCTACCGCCATGACGTGGCTTCCTTTTCTCCTTTCTATAAAGGTTTTCATGACAGTTGTCCTAATGAGCACTCTTCCGTCTTACTTTGACCACCTGAATTTGAACGTACTACGAGATTGGAAACTAGTTTTCATCATTTTACTACTAAAATAGCTAGATGTAACCGTAAGTTCGCTTCTAATAGTTTCTTCTGTGAAATTTCCAGTTAGTTGCTTCCTTGTCACCAACAATCTTATTCTAAGTCCATCGTCATATTCTGTTTTCCTGTAACTTGGTCTTTTATTATGCATTCTTCTTACTAAGAAATTCTCATTCTCTTTCACTCCTAGTAAACCTTTGTATCTTTGTGGCAATATCGCCTTGATTGAAGCCAAATGATTATAAAAATATCTTGTTGACAGAGCGATATCATATATATATATATATATATATATATATATATATATATATATATATATATATATATATATATATATATATATATATATATATATATGAAATGGACAAAAGTCCGACAATTATTTTAAGACATTTAATGTTTATACATTCTTTTTATAGATAAAATATTTAAGTAAATGCTCTGTTTATAATAAACAGTATTAAACAACATTTACCGGCCTGAATGTCGAAATTTTCTGAAAATATTCGTCCTCCGACAATGATTCGAACCTGTATCCTAACAGGACCGTCATTTCGTGGCCAAATCGATGAAGGTACGTTAACTAAATTAAGGTTCCGTATAAATGTTGGTTCTGTTTATAATAAACAGAGCATTTCTTTTAAATATTTTATCTATAAAAAAAAGAATGTATAAACATAAAATGTCTTAAAAAAAAATATATATATATATATATATATATATATATATATATATATATATATATATATATATATATATATATATATATATATATATATATATATATATATATATATATATATATAGAGAGAGAGAGAGAGAGAGATTTTACATTAAAAAAGACATGTATCTTTCATCGAGTTCATCCTTTTTCCCGGTCTTTTTGAAAAGGGGTAGATGTTTATCCCTTATTTCAAGTTTAGGATTGGGTTTCCGGTTCCTTCTAAAATATGCTTCGGCTCTAACGTAACGTTTGCGCCTGAACTCTGAAATATTACTCACTGTTTATTTTATTTTACTTTTCTCTCCCCCACCAATAGGAACAGATATGTTTGCATATCGCCCGGTTCACACTCCGTTTCGATCTTTTAGACAGGAGTACAGTGTCCCTTGTTGCCTGATTAGTATTGGGTTTCCGGCCTCTTCTACAGCCTGCTTTATCTTTATACTTCTAAATGCTTGTTCTTTCCTACGCTAATCTAAATCTGTCCGGTATCCCGCTACCTTGAGTCGCTTTTGAATCTTGTATTGGGTGAAAATTAATAAAAAAAAGAAATATAAAAATAACCTAAAGACTCCTGATTAGACAAACTGATATATTTAGAAATACAGTATTCTGAACACGCGTTAAGCTTTGTAAATTTACATCTTGGGCACAAAAAATGACGACACTAGCATCACAAACACATCCGGAGGCGAAAAAATGGAAAAAAAATGTATATATATTTTAGATAGAAATTATGATATTTTCCTGTTTATTAGCGCAGATGTACGCCCCTTGGAGGCACGGTAGGATAGCGACTCGGGTTTAAGAATCGGAGAGCCGAGTTCGAATTCCAGTCGAATCCATTGCATTCACTTATGTGCTGATACCCTTAGAAAAGGTATGAATCCTCTTTTTCTTCCCACCGCTAGCTATGTGTAAATAGCAGGACAGACTGGGTTCTATAGCCTTGGATGGCAACTGATCTACTGCAGAAAGAAATGGCAACCTAATGCGGGAAAAAATCTACCTCTTCAGTCATGTATCGAAAGCGAGTATCACGCATGGCACATGACTGACTGACGTCTCTTTATGAAATGTGACTCAAATTTTGTTTTTTCAAGTTTTCTTTTAAAATGGATTAAATCAGACAGATTTTCTTTGATCCATTCTTAATTAACGGTAGGCTTTGAACGGTAACACTACCGTCTTCACCTGCAGGGCTTTAACCACTAAGCCTACCTTGCGAACATATACAGAGGTATCAATTTGGAAAATCTTAACATTTCACGCAAACATTTAGGTGTGTTTGTATACTATTGTAGGTGTACGTGTAAACATATTGTTGGTGTGTTGTTGGTCGACTCACTTTAACAGTTGTCAACTGACCACTTGTCGGCGGTCTTTCAGCGGTCAGTCCACTTTTCTATTAGTGACACCTGGCCGAGAGGCGAACATTTGGTGTTGCATGTTTTGTTGACTGTCCATGTCTTGAGAGGCTCCAGGTTTAAGACTATGGGGTGTTCAGATTTCCCACGCAAAAAGGATAGACACAAAATATATATATATATATATATATATATATATATATATATATATATATATATATATATATATATATATATATATGTATATATATAAATATATATATATATATATATATATAAATATACATATAAATATATATATAAATATACATATAAATATATATATATATATATATATAAATATATATATATATATATATACATATAAATATATATATATATATATACACACACACATATATATATATATATATATATATATATATATATATATATATATAAAGAGAGAGAGAGGGAGATTTGTGATGTATAAAAGTGTTCGACAGGTTTCTCTCTCTTCATACACACAAACAGTCAAAAAACACATACAAACACACACACACACACACACACACATATATATATATATTAAAAAGAAGAGATAAACCGCAAAAAATGTATTATGCTTTATTTTCCATATGAAAAATAAAGCATATCATATTTTAAATAATCCACATTATGTCTAAAAATGTTTGCGGTTTCTCTCTTCTTAATCTACACTTTTCTCTCGTTGAAACTACTATATATATATATATATATATATATATATATATATATATATATATATATATATATATATATATATGTATGCATTTTTGTGTGTATAAATAAAAAAGACAGAAAGACAGATAAAGAATGAGTGATGAATGATCTAAAAGTATGACATTGATTTCACTTTTCATACACATGCACAGGCCATTCACCCACGCACTTACAAATATACACACAGAGACACACAAACAAACCCACACTTAGAAACACGCAGGATGAATTTGAAAAAGCCCACACTCAATAATATCAACTATGAACACAGCCGCAATGTGCAGACCGTGTTTGGAAAATAAAACATTCCTATAATTCTAGATACATAAATAACCAATCCATACATTCGGTTAAAAGTAAAAATAAAATTCATCCTTGATAATGGCTAAAATTGTAGCCGAAAGCGCTCTGGTATAGAAAACAATTTCTATATAATTTACATCCAGAAAAGAAGAAAGTTATAAAAAAACGTGAAAAATTAAATAAAAACTTAACCGCCGTAACTTGTCAATCGTTTTAAAAAAATATATATATATATATATATATATATATATATATATATATATATGGAGAGAGAGAGAGAGGGTGACAGAGAGCCAAACAGAGAGGCATACAGACCAACAGAAAAGAGAGATACACATGCAGGCATATAGATAGATAACAAGCATATAGACAGAGTGGGATAGATAGAAAGAAACAAACAATGCGAAACAAACATTTTGGTTAATGAAATGAAAAGCAAATAAGACATTGAAGAGTCTTCACCATAAACTCGACGAGTTAGAAAAATTTTAAATATCTTAACTTGGTCACCGTGGTGTGATGTAATACTTAACAAATTTACTCGCGTAGTGAATCCCATCATTAATGTGTATATTCACAGATTCATATTTGTGTCACACAAAACATTATCACCAACCGAAAAACGATTATTAAAATGTTCCTTTCACAGATCAATCTCTTAATGAAATCAATTTGATACTTTCAAGAACAGTTTCTGTGTGCTTTTGCACCAGACTAAGTCATATTCTGTTTCCTAACCTTGAAGCAGATATTTTAAAAAATGATTTTCCTCTCTTAAAAGTGATTATAATATATTTCTTTTTTTAAGGGTGGATTAAATTTTAGGCGTGCAGACCAAGTTCCTCTGAGATTACAAATGGTAGGAATTTTATTATACAATGATTAATTCAAAGTGGTTTCTCTGCATTTGGTTGTTAATGCTACTACCGTAGAGAAGGAGAACACTGGATTAGTTGTATTTATCTTGTCTTCGTGAGTTCATTCCCTGGGTTAGCGAAATTACATAATTATTTTCAGTGTAAAAAGCAGTGTTCAGTCACTTTAGGACGTAGATACTTCACATTTTGCTTTTCTTTATTTGTCACTTGCCGTAACTGCTTCGGGAATATAATGAATTGATTTGGACTTGCTGCCTCATTGGTTCTGATTTTACAGCAATCCATATCCTAGACTGACTACCTGTCAACATTGTTATTTAACGTATAGCGGTGAGACTGACAGAAGAAATGAACTCATGACTTTATCAAGAACATCGACGTGAATGGTATAGTTAAGGCCAGTTAAGCAATTCCACTTTCGGGTATGACAATAAAATACATCCGGCAGCAAGGCCTCTAATCGGGAGATTGGAGTTTTGATGAGCGATGGAACCACCTTTTCAGAGCTGTTATTCCAGGCCCACCCTGAACCGGGGTGGTAGCACCTGTTAGTGTCCTAGCTATGGGAAAATAGTGGATCCCCAAACAAAAAAAAATTATAATAAAATGACCAACAATATATTTTTTATAAAAAAATAACACTCAATATAACACTAAAAAAATTTAAAAAATATATTTTCATAGTAAAATAACAAAATTTCATTTTATGATCTTCAAAATATATATCTAAAAAACATACCTTTATTCTCAAAGTATAAAATTATATACAAAATATCTATGGTTGAAAGTATATTATAACGTACAAAATATTTAGATTTCGGCATTAAATAACCCATAGATGTCGATATGCTACCAAACAAAATCAACCAACATGAAAAAGCTCTTATATGATATAAATCCATATAATATTCTACAAAAGAAATTAAACTGTATTCCACGCTATAACTTCAGAAAAACTACAACATATAACACACATATCATGGTCTCTATTAATTATGTCTACACAAACATGTCTATGCACAAAAAGCTGAGTATCCTCTACCATACATTCAATTGTGAAAGCAGAATAACATATATCATATTTTTATTACTTCAAAGCTCACAAGAAAATTAAACTTCGGCATTAAATGACCCATGAGGAGTTGATATGCCGTTAAACAAATCAGTCAATCAATCAATAGACCGCTCACACTAACGCAGTTATTGATAGTGCTAATGATAATATTAGCAGTTCCAGTGTTAGCAAACATTTCATATTCATTGATTGAGAAGTCGGGGCTAATTTCCTTTAAAATTCATAAAATCTTTCTGTTAAAAACATTTTTCAAGAATATAGGTTTCTCAAGTCCACTAACTGTTATCGCTCTTTCCAGTACTGTCGGTGGCTTCTTTGCAAACGTTTTATTCGAAAGAGTGGACAACGTCAACAGTTTCAGTCTGTGGTTATTTTCTCTTTCAGTTACCCGGGATAACCATTTAATTGCTGCTGTTGTTAAAAGTCCTTAAGTGGTAATATTTCTTTTATTTGGTAGTTTTATTCCTTTATTTGGTAGTTTATTTGTTTGCGATTCTGTAGCGCCAGTCAACGAGATTTGAAGACCTTAGACCCTCGATAAGACCTACATGCTTCACTCGCTCGAAGCTATTTCAGCCGTTGCCCTGAGGCAAATATTGAGTACAGCTAAGAGTTTGGATATCTCTGTACGAGTTTGGCGCTATTCATGGCATCCATGTGAAAGCCGAGATCTGATGAGGCTATTTATTTATCATTTATTTAAGGACATGACTCGTATTACAACGATGATTTAACTCGGTAACATATACCAGTTATATTGCTTTGTATAGACAGCTAATTCATGACAATCTACTCTGTGTACATTAAAGAAATTGTTTGGTTTGAAATCCCAGACGGTCAATAGCTATAGAATCCGTGATGTAACAAGTAGTATTTGTTTTTAATGTATTCTCAACTTCTATTGTCTCGAGAGTTTACACGTACGGGAATTCGGAAATTCTGGTAATTGAGATGAGTAATGAAAACCGGTTTTATTTTAGCGTCAAAAACAATTGTACCTAGTTCGGAAAACGTGACACCAAAATAAGAAGACTAATTGGAATAGCAGAAGATGCCTTCCAAAATCTCGGCAAAGTATTAAGAAACAGGAAAAAGCCGTTAAAAAAAAAAACAAAAAAACAAAAAGATTACTGAAATGTCATGTAATATCGGTCCTCGTATACGGCAGTGAATGCTGGGCAATCTCTCCGCATTTGAAAAATATACTTGAAGCAACGAAAAGGGGGTTCTACAGAAGGATACTGAGAATATGATGGACTGAACAGATGAGTAAAGAGAAAATGGAAACAAAATGAACACACATACTTAGAATCAGCAAAAGACTGTTGATATTGCTAGGAAACATAATGAGGATAAAGGGCTTAGAAAATCTAACACTCACAGGACATATTGATGACAAGAGGGACAGATGAAAGCAGCGCATAACCTACCTAACGATCCGCTGTAAATCTTTGGCAGAGCAGGGGCTAGCAGAGATACAAAACAGACAATCTTTACTAGGAGCTAAAAAGGACAGGAAGTTATAGAGCGCCTTGATTACTCATGTCCTGAAGTGACAAAGCACATTCAAGAAGAATGTGTAAGCAAGGTTTCGGCCTTATTGCTGCCCACTTATTTTACTAATACTCCTCTTTGCTCATTTTTTCAGTGACAATGATTTTTTTCTAGCCGTAATAAAAAAAAAATATTATTAAACGCTAGCATTTGAATTTTTTAATCTATATTGAAAAGAAATTCGTTTAAAAACCCATGACCCTCCTGGTGTCAGTTTAAACTAATAACTTTGATTTTCAATATATTCCGACCATTTTGCTTAAATTTTGTAATAAAAAGACGAAATACAATCAAAATAATAAAAAAAAGGGGAAAGAAAATCATCAATGTCTGAATGGAGGAAATGTCACCAGGAAGATACGAACTAAGCAAGCTTAGTCACTTCATTGGCATACTGTACATGGAATATCAGAAATCGACGTTCAAGAAAAATTAAAGCTTTACAAATACAATGAATAAAGAAATATAGAGAGAATAAGAGAATATAGAAAAAATAAAGGAAGATAGTAAGAATGACGGAATATAAAAAGAAGTGAATAAAGAGAGAATAAGTGAAAATAGTGAGAATAAAGGAATATAAAAAGAATGGAATATAGAGAGAATAAGGGAATATATAGAGGAGGGAATATAGAGAGAGTAAGAGAAATAGTGAGAATAAGGGAAATAGTGAGAATAAGGGAATATAGAAAGAATTGAAAATAGAGAGAATAAGGGAATATAGTGAGTATAAGGGAGGGAATAAAGTGAAAAAGGAATAAAGAGAGAATAAGTGAAAATAGTAAGAATAAATGAATATTAAAAAGAAGGGAATATAGAGAGAATAAGGGAATATCCAGAGGAGGGAATACAGAGAGAATAAGGGAATATAGAGTGAATCAGGGAATATAGTGAGAATAAGGGAATATAGTGAGAATTGAAAATAGAGAGAATAAGGGAAAATAGAGAGAAATAGGGAAATTACTGAGAATAATAGAATATATAATAAGGATTTATGGAGAAAATAAAAGAATACGTAAAATAAAAGATTAAGCGTATTCCATTAATGTGGTTCTCAAGCTATTTCCCCCTGTACTATTTCCGCATATCTCAATATATAAATTTCTTCTTCTTTAAAAGTGCATCGGAGAACTTTAATTCAGAGAACGGTTCTAAGAGTTTGACTCTGCCAATCTGTGACCCCAATTCTTCCTTGATTCCTAAAATTTCCTTTTTTTAGAAATAATTCCGTATGTTGCTGAGTGCCACTTCTCAAATTATATAAGAAAGGCTTTATATTCTATTATCCAAAAAGTTGACAGGTAATAAAATAATACTTACATATTAAAAGATATTTAATCAGTCGACCACTAAAGTGCATTTGGATTTTGAATCGTGTCCTGAATCGAATTCTGACATCATCTTCATGTTCAAAGAAAAAAAAATGTCGGAAAAAAAATAACGCAAAAAGAGGAGGAAAAGAAAGAAAAATGGAAGAGAAGAGAGAGGCAAATAGATGGAAAAAAAACATGAAGGAACAAAGAGTTGAAAAGGAAGAAGAAAAAAGTAAGAAAAAAAAGAAAGAAAGATGTAAAGAGAAACAAAGAGAAGGAAAAAGGGAACGATATAAGGAAAGAGAAAAAAATAGGCGTTAGAATTAAAGTAAAACAAGAAAATGTAAGATCGAAAAAAAGAGAAAGCAAATAATAAAAAAAAAATGAAAGCAAAGACATAAAAAGAAATAGAAAAAGAAGAGAAACAAATTAAAAGAACTCAAGAAAAGAAAAAGAGAAAGAAGAGAAGAACCTGTTGGACAAGAAGAAGAGAGTTTTAAATGTTGATTTTGAAAATTAGTGTAACGCAGTTTTTCTTCTCTTCTTCCTTACCTCCACCATATTTAAACTTGTTCTGTATTCAGGTAAACTTATTAAAAACCGCTAAAAATCTGTAATACAAATCTCATGTGCCGCTGTCGGTTTCCTGGGAACTGATCTGCTTGACCCTCATACGTCGAACTCGACGAGAGAGTCGACTATATATATATATATATATATATATATATATATATATATATATATATATATATATATATATATTCCTTTCCACTTTTGTTTGACTGTCTTACGTCTTTCACTCTCTCAATCATCTTATCTCTTTCAGGATATATATATATCTCCTTCACCCCCTCCCGCCTGCAATTTAAACCTGCCTCCTCACAAGCACGTGTTCATAAATTAAAATGATAATATATAATTCTTTTTTGTCACCCATTTATTTGTATGAAAATGGTCGATCTGAGGAATTAGGATCAGATTTCGATCCTAAGAAATTAAATTATTATCGTCAAGAAACCTTAAAGTTGTTTCTGTATCTTAATAATAATTTATATATATATATATATATATATATATATATATATATATATATATATATATGTGTGTGTGTGTGTGTGTGTATATATATATATATATATATAGAGAGAGAGAGAGAGATGATGATGATGATGATGATGATGATGATGATGATGATGATGGGAGTATGTGGGCGGTGATATAAAGAAGAAAATAGAAGCAAAAACAGAAGACAAAAAGATGAAAGGACAAAATGGAGAGATTAGTGAGGGGATGTTTTTGCGTGTATATGGATGCTAGAGAGAGAGAGAGAGAGAAAGCGAGATTATTTGTCTTTGTGTGTGTGAGAGAGAGAAGGGGAGATAGAGTTTGTACAAACTTGTGGATGAGAGAAAAAAAAAGATGACAAAAACAGAGAACAAAAAAACGAAAAGATGAAAAGAGAGAAAGAAATCTAAAAGCGTAATTAAAGAGAAAGAAAGAAAGAAAGAAAGAAAGTTAAAGTGTGCGTGTGTATGTTAGAAATAGTTACAGGCAGAAAGTGGATCTATGTGAGAGAGAGAGAGAGAGAGAGGGTGGAAAGAAGAAAAAAAGAAAGCAGAAAGAATATGAGACAAATAAAAAACAAAAATACAAGGATACGATGAAAATAAAAGGCCATTGAGAGAGAAAGAAAGAGAGTGTGTCTGTTTGTGTGCATGGTAGGTGTCTGCGAGAACAGTGTGTGTGGGGGGGTTATGTGAGAGAGAAAAGAGAGGGTAAATAAAAAAGTGGCGGTTAATGTGATAAGCATTGGGAAAATAGCAGGAAAAGAAATAAAACTTTTAAAAAGAACGCTAAGTGGGGGAAAAAAGATAAATTTCGTTGACTATTAATTTCTAATAAAAGTGTAGGCAGAACTATATACAGCTATTTAATATGGAGAATAAGCGAAAATACCACTTCACGCGTTAATTGCTAATGTATTTATTTAGTCGGAGGCCGAGATTACAGCCTGGAATGAAATCCGTGACGATCACGTTGGCGAGAATAATTTCTTTCTGTAATCTCTCTTTTCATATATGTTTTCTTTTATGGCTTTGTTTTGATAGGATCATTAGACATTATTGTTAATAAAAAGGCGACGATGAAATGCTCGACAAGAATCAAAGCAAATAACTAAAAGCAATAGAGATATTAGCGGAAAATAACTGGCGACCAGGTTGCGCGCGAGAGAAAGGACTGAGATGTCACACCTGTTCTACACGAAGACAAGTATTTAATGATCGAGGAAGGAACCTCTAGTCGGCGTGCAGTTTGAAAACTGATGAGGGACATGAAATGAAAGATGGCTAGTTGGGCGAAGAGAGAAAGCAGCCGAAAGAAGAGACGAAAAAGAATGTTAGAGAAATCTGGAAACGTAATTAAATCTTCTAGTAATATTGACCTAGTTTTTGGAATTAATTCACTATTTGCAACAATCTTTTCAGGTTCACAATTCGTCTGTGAGTAAATAAATAAAAGAAAATATTAGCTAAATGGATATCTCTATCTAACATTATTTTTAGGATGAGAAACTAAAACTAAACTTCTCTTCATTAATCATTTGAGACCACTCTCTGCTTTCCATCAACATGGCTGACACTAACTCCCAAGAAAGTAACTCTTTCCGCCTTCTCTTGCTAACGTTCTCAGCTGAAATAAAGTGGAAAGACTATATTGAAGCCATTGCTAGGTCAGCTGCTAAGAAAGTTGGTTCACTTTTGTTGTACGAGACAATTTTCTCTCCAGAATCTATCATGCATATCTATAAGTCCATTCTTAGAATATTGCTGCCAAATATGGTTCCATGCCTCTGTTATTAACCTTGAGCTCTTTGAAGAACAGTCAGCAATAATACTGGCTCTGATCTAGCGACTCGGCTTCAGTCACTTTCCCATCGCTGTAAGGTTACCTCCGACTGCCTTTTCTATAAAAACTGGTAATTGTTCAGATGTCCTTTTCACGATGGTACCTGGACTTTTTAAATTTAAGCGCAGTACTAGACTGGCCTCGAGATCTCATGAATTTAATGTTGAGAAGGCTAGATAAAACCGTAAATTCCATGCTAACAGCTTCTTTCCCCGCTAAGGGAACACCCTTCCGGTTCCATGTTTTACACCCAACTTTAATCTGAAAGAATTTAAATGCAATGCCAATCACTATCTACTATCCTCTTGATTACTCTTTCTTCTTCCTGCTCATTATTAATGTTTCTGTTTCTAATTCTTACACACCCTGTAACATGTTGTGTCTTAGTGGCTTTACTGACTTGAAGTGAGACTCGACTAAATAAAAACAAGAAAGCATTAACCAAATGGAACTCTCTAGCTTTGTAGATTGAAAAATTGTTATCATTACGAGCTACAATTTTACAACTAAAATTATCCATTAATTAATACCTATGCTTTTCATTCGTTCTTTGCCTGTATCTTCTCATTCACTCCCTTATCCTTACTAAAACAAATAAGATTGTCCATTATATCAGGTCTGTTCTCTTCTCTCCCACTCCGGATGAAACTTCTCAATTTCTCCTTTATCCTTTCCAATAAAAATGATAATCTTCAATATGACATAGCTATTCTCATCTCTTATTCTTTGTCTGTAACTTCTCTTTACCTCTCTTATCTTTTCCATTACAAATAACAATGTTGATTATTTCATGGCTCTGCTCTTCTCTCAGCCGTTACTTGAGATTTCAATATAAGTTTTTTTGGGTTTTTTTTTAGGTGAGGCAGGGAAAGAGATTGAAATTTTTGTCTTTCTACCCCTTTTCCTTTCTCTTTTAATATTAAAACTTTTTTCCTTTTTCTCTTTTCTCTCTCTTTTTTTTTTCTTTTTTCTTTCCTTATATCTGAATAAATTGAAATTTATTTCTGTAAAAATGCTTTGAAGAGATGGACGTCTGATTGGATTTTTAAGGATTCTGTATTCATAATCATATATATATATATATATATATATATATATATATATATATATATATATATATAGATGATGAATATAGAATCTTAAAATTCCTTAAATATATCTATATATATATATATATAGTGAGAGAGAGAGAGAGAGAGAGAGAGAGAGAGAGAGAGAGAGAGATAGGTATTGACGTAGCTAAATCAAATAACTAGATATTGGCAACTGTATATATGTGCATTAGCATGCATACACAGGTAAGCGAATAAATATTTACTCAATTTAAGGTGTAAACAAAAGAGTGCTCAATGTGGTTATACAGAGCTAAAAACTATATATTAATAAATATACACATATCTACGTTCGAAGTGCAAATTAAAGATTCGTTTTAAACTAACACATCAGGCAAAATTTTTACTTTTGTAATAAAAGTAATAATTCGTGCCTGATGAGTTGGTAATAGAACAACGAAACTTTAAATTGCACTGGAACGTATATATATGTATATTTATCAATATATATATATATATATATATATATATATATATATATATATATTACATCTTAAATAAATTTTCATGGTTTCAAACCAAAGGCTTTACATTAGATGGAAATCTTTGAATGTACATACCGAAGTTGAATTCGCCTGAATGGTGTGTCCTAGTACATTTAACAGTTCCATCAATCAGTAACGGTAAGGAGGCAGGAGAGAGATGTATGTTAATGGGTTTATTTTTGTTTAAATCTGTTGAATCATATTTTATGAACCAATCAGTTAAGATTTGAAATGGCATTCTGTCGTTAATGTAATGTTGCGTGACGAGTGTCATTATTAATATTATAAACACTTCAGTACGCGTTTATACATACATATATGTACGTATGTATATATATATATATATATATATATATATATATATATATATATGTATGTAGATTGGTAGACAGTTATGTATGCTTAAGTCAGTTTAATGAGAATCCAGCGGTATACTAAGTATATAAGAACATTTGAAAAACTTCTATTTTGACACGTCTCGCCAAACTACCAGTGTCATCAGAAAAAGAATTTTAATGAAAATAAAATTATTTTTCTGATTGCGCCGGTTAATCAGCAAAACATGTCAAAATAGAAGTTTTCCAGATGTCATATATATATATATATTTAGTTTATGAAAAACTAGGTAATCCGTATAATTTAAATAAAAACAGACCACTTTAAGGTTCCATGTAATAAATTATTTCACCATAGCTCTTTTTAAAGGACTGCGGATCATCAGACTTTACTTCCAAACATAAAATGAAAAGAAAAGTTACACATTTTTGACGGGCCGTATTAAACATATGTAAATTAACGAAGTGAGGAAGTGAGGGGGAGAGAGAAGACATGAGTGAGTTAGCAGATATTGACACATTTAAACGGTTAACTTAACGGAAGTTATATATTGATATCGAAGGGGTAGAGAAGAAAAAACCCATAGAGAGAAAAAGAGGGAAGGAAATTGAGAGAGATGTCACTAATTTTCTTTGTAAAAAAAAAGGCTAGAAACAGACGCTGTTATTTTGCTTTCCTTTGAAAGTGTTATTTTGTGGGGTTCATAAAGATTATAATGTTTGATATAAATTTGAATGTCTCTAGACTGCCTACAAATAATTTAATTTGATGTTTGTTAGTGATTTAATTTTTTTTAAATTTTGAGAATTTTCTATGAAATAGTCGATTAGAAAAATATTCATAGAAATTACATTAAAAGAATAAAATTTTATTTTAAAATATAAGTTTACTTCTAGTAATCTTTTATATATATATATATATATATATATATATATATATATATATATATATATATATATTAGGTACTATTGTCGCAATGTTATATTTCAATGCTGTGCAGGCGCGTTGTTTTTTTTTTATTTTGTCGACTGTACAGTATAGTAGGGTCAGTTGGGCACCGTCTGTGAGAAAAAGAGCACCGAGGCGTAATTCACACCCCTAGAAATTTGGAAATAGCATGCTGTACAGCTTGGCATTCGGACCGGTAACTCCAATATGAACATTTCAGTGTGTTTGGGTGTCAATCTGAGGACAGTGCTAAGGATCCGGAGAGAGATGGATTAGTCTAATGTTGATTACGAAAGTAAGGCAGTTCGGAAATTTCATCGTTCTGATAAAAAATGCAATCCGGAATTTTTTGGTGAAGGCTTCAGACTCAACACGGGGGTCTACATCAAGTGCCTTGAGGAGATAATGCTGCCCTAGGTCAAGAGGGTGGCTGCTAGAAGACTTTATGTCTGGCAATAGGACTCTGTACCATGTCTCAAAAGCAGAAGAACCCAGTCATAGCTGTCAGACAATTTCTGCGACCACATCATCCATTACATCTGGCCACCTAACTCCCGAGACTGCAACTCGCATGATTATTATCAGCGAGAGACCAACAAAACTCCTTGTAACACCAAAGGTGAAGTAAAGGCAAGGCTTATGACAGCATTCACCAAATTAAACAAGGAGACCACCCAGAAGAGTTGAAACGAATGGCGATTTAATTGACTAAATTTACTCGTTAACATTTCAAGATATTTTTGTGCAATTTTGGTAAATATATCTGTTAAAATAAGATGTCAGTGTTAATTTCATTTTTCCATAATTTAGACGTCAATTTATTCATCGCATCATTTATACATATATACATACATATATATATATATATATATATATATATATATATATATATATATATATATTATAAACGACAGACATTTTGTGTCGATTAATTTCAATAATCGAATTTTCCAAGTTACGAATAATCCTTCTCAGGCAAGGAGGAAATTCAGTCAGAAGAAAAGTACAGGGAATATGATACAAGCTTTCGTCTTTCTTAAGCCATCATTAGGATTATAAAGCATAAAGTGATTATATAATAATCCTAATCTCACAACTTCTGATATTAGATCAAATATTTTACGTATGCCCCTACTGTCTTGGACCACACAAATACCATTTTAAGATCACTATGGCAACAGTTACACACAGACTGACGATGTAGTGATGGGCTCGCGTCTGGGTCCTACTTATCTAATTTCGATCTTACTCATGTAGAAAACAAGGTCTTTAATAATTTTAACAAACCACCCATGTATGTCAGATATACTCACGACATTTTCATATATATATATATATATATATATATATATATATATATATATATATTCATTTTGTCTACATTTTGAGAACATTTACACACACACACATATGATATCTTCAGACTTACAATGGTTTTATCGTTGTAGTCAATCTTTTGTGCAGAATACAACAAACACCGGTTAGATATCACACACACACACACACACACACACACATATATATATATATATATATATATATATATATATATACGATGGCTGACCTCTTAGATCCGAGCAAACCAGTCTACTAGAGCGGCTAACCAATCATTGTTGCAGACGCCTGTTTAGCTATATTTGTGTTTATTCAAAACCCACAGATTACACAAACACTTAAAATCTGGAGTAAATAATTTGGCTGTCTTTTGACATAGAGCTGTCCCAGGATGTACATTTTCCTGGAAATTACATACCGATTAACATATTGTATCATTACTATATATATATATATATATATATATATATATATATATATATATATATATATACAGATAGTAAGCGACTTGGTGAGAGTAGTCGTGGCTCCAGGGGGCACAGTCCTATGGTTACAGAGAACGCAGTACGGTTCCACCACGGAATATGTGAGCGAGCGGCGCTATATTGAATCTGATTTCGTCATCGAGGCCCATTAGAACAGTTGGTGTGATGTTTGCTTGACAACCTAACTGGCAGGTTTTTAATTCTCAGTAGTGGATGCGCACTGATGATGACTCCCAAATATAGGACGAAACGGCCGTCCAGTGCTTTCTGCATTCTGTTGAGATTTCTATCAGACTCGATGAATTAATTAAATATATATATGACAAAGTGGAAAAATATATATATACACTAAAATAGTTGTGTCTATTCCTTCAGAAATCTTACCTAAAAGTTTCATAAAAGCGACCCACATTTATTGCTCTATAACAGAAAAATTTCTTTTAAAAGCTTCATGCCATAATACGTGCTTATATTGGTTGTTATAATCACAAATTTTCGGCCGTTGTACCCTCCGGCCTTTTTGTGCGTCTGTTGTAATCGGTACCTTTCTCCAGGTTTGGAATCAAAACATTTATTCACAACTAACGTCCACAGTTGACCTAGTGGCCGTACGAAACAGAGGCACCCACAAACGTCACCGCAGACAGGTCACCTTGTTGAATGAAATACCTGAAGATTCAGATATTTTGAAAAACAAGAATATTTTCTCTCCCACCAAAAAAAAACAGCACAAAACAGAATTTCAAAAACAGCCTGGAAATTTTAACTCTAAAACATTATTCTTCGACTTTGCAGCCGTTATTTACTAAGAAGACGTGATTTTTTTTTGGGGGGGGGGTTTACCAACATTAACCCATTTCAAATCAACCTTTCACTTGTAAACAAACACTGATTCAGTAAATCTGTTATCGGAAAAATGTTATCATCGCCATAATTTAACCGGCTTGAAGTGATTCCCCAAACACATCCGGACAGAATAGCAAACATTTTCTCTCAGCAGCTCGTTTAGTATGGAAATCTCAAAAAAGAATCTTGTAAAAGTGTCAGATTCGGCGGATGATCGACAATTTACCGAGGAGCGCTAAAGTTCGGGATAAGGAGCCCAAAACCGGAAGCTTTTCGGCGGTGCTGCGGGACATGACAGGAAATTCGCTGGATTATTTTCATGGTTAAAAGCATGTCTAATTCCCCCGGCAATTGTGGGTTCAATCCTTTGGTCGGCTGTGTGAAAGATACAGAGAAGCGACGTAAAAGTTTATTCACAGAAGATAATTTATGAATACAAGATATCCTCAATACATGGAAGAAGGAATGAGAACAGTTTATTTTGCGAATAAAAAAAGAATAGTTTTGTTCGAAATTCCGAGAAGTACGACAGACTCTTGGATAAAGACAAAGAGTGCAACTGCCTAAACCCTGGGATCATAATAACCAGAATGAACAAGCATCTACCATTTTTTTTCAAAAAATTCTCGAAACGTTCATTAAAAACAAAGAATGCTGAACAGTTACATCGCATCTAATGAGATAAACACGTGTTAGTTTTTTCCCAAAGACAAAGAAGCGGCTTGCAGCGACAGAGATGTGATTCTGTTGACGAACGCCAAGAATAACATGGACAGAGCATCTGAGTAATTAGCTTTCCTAAAAAATCGTGCAATGAGAAACAAGTTGAACATCCTTTCTTCTAGAGCCTGTCACATTAATGTGGATCACCCCCAGCACCTTAAATATTTTGTTTCTTACCTTCATCAATGTTCTTTCCATGTGTCATCAGTTCCAAATTACAAATTAGATATTTATACTGATGACTTATATTTACACCTGTATTAACAGTAAGTCCGATAGATTCGACAGCGTAAAACAAACAGCTGATCTTGAAAATGTTCTTCACTCGGTTGTTAACTGGGGCAAGAAATGGCTTGTAAATTGTAACGCCTCCATAACGAAATTGCTCTCTGTTAGTCATCGTAGGGAACCATTTCTGACTTCCGTCATCATGGCTGATGCCAACCTTCACGAGAGCAACTCATTGCACCTTCTTGGTTTTAAGTTTTTCACTGACGTGAAGTGGAATAATTATATTGAATCAATTGCTAGATTCTGCTCGGGAAGTTAGTTTACCGTGTCGTGCCAGACACCTTTCTTCGCCGGAACCCATCTTGCACGTTTATAAATTTATCATCCGTCCGTACATTGAATATTGCTGCCATATCTGGTCTGGTGCTCCTGCTAGATTTCTTGAAATTCTTAACAAAATCCAAGGAAGGATTCCCTGTGCCTTTTCTATAAATATTTTTATAGCAAATGTTCTAACGAGCTTTCCTTCTTGGTACCTCGACCTCATGAATTTAAGCGTAAGACTAGATTCGTAATTAAGTTTCATTGTTTTACTGTTGAAATAGTTAGATATAAACGTAATTTTTATTTTAATAGTTTCTCTCAATTTTGACTTGTGGGATTCCATTCCGGTTTTGTCGTTGCCGTCCATCTATGATGTAAAAAAAAAAATGTAATATCAATCGATTTCTGTCTTCCTGAATACTTTTCTTTTATTGTCAGTAACCCCAGTGCTTCTGCAATTAGTGTCATTATCGACTTTCTTGGGGCAAAATTATTAAAGTTTGAAGGAGAAAAGTGCCTACACAGTGACTGATATTTACAGCCAGAAAGAAACAGTTTATATGTCTGAAACATATAGTAAAGAAAAGAGGGCCTAGAGAATCTGACACCCATAGGACATAGCAAGGGCAAGAGAGGCAGGGGATAACAATAAGTAAGTTGCTCTACGTGAATGGATTGCAGAACAACGATATAGAGTCACGTTAAAAGATTAAAAGTTACTTAGATAACAAAAGGAAGGAGGTTGAGAAGAGCCCTCATCGCTCACAATGTGGAAGGCTAGCACTCATAAATGAAATCTCTTTCGTAGCCGTGATAACCGATTGACATTACATAATTTAAAGCAATAATAAATTATTACGAAAATGTACTACATTTTAATATTTTATAAAATCTATATATATATATATATATATATATATATATATATATATATAATATATATAGCATATATATATATATATATATATATATATATATATATATATATATATATTGGGCACCTCAAGGCGGTGTAATGGTTAGAAAGCCTGTCTTGCTAGATCAATTACGACTGAGGAGTGAGTTCAGTCCTCACTTGGTGCTCCATACTTTCGGCCTTGTGCCACATCTAAGCCGGGCTTAGAAAATCACCATATATAATTTGGATACCTCGACGTGGTGTAATGGTTAGAAAGTTTGTATTGCTGGATCAATTACGATTGAGTAGTGAGTTCGATCCTCACTGGGTGCCCTATACTTTCGGCCTTGTGCCACATCTAAGCCGGGCTTATATATATATATATATATATATATATATATATAGAGAGAGAGAGAGATAGAGGGAGAGGTATTGACGTGGCTAAATCAAATAACTAGATATTAGCAAGTGTATATACGTTACCGTGCATACAGAGGTAAGTGAATAAATATTTACTCAATTTAAGAAGTTAAGCTCAGAACTATATATCAATAAATGTTCATATATCTACGTTCAAAGTGCAAATTAAAGTATTACCAGTTTGTGACTGGTAGGGATAATTCCAAGGTGAATATTAATCCAGGGAGGGTTCAGTGTAGACTACAGGGAATAATAATAATAATAACGAAGAAAATTTAACTCTTCATTTCGGCTATAATTTATTTTGTGAATATATTCATCTCTTCAGACCGAAATCTCTTATTAAAGGGAGACAATACACTTGACGGACATAATAGATTGAAAGGGGGAAGGGAAAGCAAGAGAGATGAGGGGAGGAAGGGAAGGAGAAAAGTGACGGATGTCCAGGCACTTTTAAGAAGATCAGATAGAGGGAGGTTATGTAAAAGAGAGGGAGGAAAGAAGTAATGAATTAATGAATGGGTAGTAGTAAGCCTAAAGAGGCTGACCCCCCACCACCACCACCAAGTATTTTTCCCTTTCGATTTGGAACTTTGCACATTGGGTTATACAGCAAAATGACCGATATGGCCCATTGTTTTAGGCAGGACAGACCAACCCAATTCCAAATTAGTTTAATAAAAGGGTCCTTAATACAAATAATAAATAGAAATTACAATAATGATAATAATATCAAACAAAAATGAAGGGATTTTAAATACAAATAAATAAAACAAATAAATTTAAAAAATTAAAATTAAAAATAAAAATAAAAGTAAAAATAAAAATAAAAACTGAGTGAGGTGATGTATGGATAATGATACAAGAGATTTAATTAATGTCCAATAATGCTTAGATAGAACAGTTTGTTTTCTCAAGGATGTATTGGAGAATGAATATTGGTGATTGTATAGTCTCTGTTTCCAGTTTACAGCGGTGTTATTGATGAAAATTTATTTATTTCGCTATGTTATTTAAATCATGGCAATTATGTGTGAAAAATAATATCGACCAAATTTCGGCCAAATCTGAATAAAAAAAGAAAAATATTAGACGCTTAAAGTTAATTCACATTTGGAATCGGTCCAAGTTATTGGAACACCCTTTATATATGTGTGTGTGTATGTACGCGTGAGTGTGGTGCTTATGAGGCCATTTGTGTGTAAGTAAAGAAAAAACACTGAAAATTCTTTGTCATTTATTAAGATTAATTTTCGACAAATATGAGACATTCAGTGAAGATCGATCTTGTAACAGCGAAACTATCTCACTAATCTCTATTTTGATCCGGATTATCCTCTTACGGGATATTGCATATATTATGATAAGGCTTTCAAAAAATAAACCTTTTTCCTATATGTTACAAGATGGAATTTTCAAAGATGGAGGCAACAAAAATATTGTTATACAGAAGGATTCTCAAATAACCCTGGACGGGGTGGCTAAGCAACGAGGAAGTTTTAATGAAAATGGAAAGAAAAAGAACACATACTGAGAATATGATAAAACAGCTGAAATTTCTTGAACACAATTTGGAAGGAGGAACTGAAATGCTTAATCCCCATTGGGCTTATTAAGAGATAACTGAAAGCAGTAGGCCACCTATCTGATAAGCTGCCGGAAATGGTTGGTGACAAGAGGCAGGAGTCTTAGCAAACGTTGCTAAGGGTCACAAGAGATAGAAGTTTGTGGAGAGCCATGATCGTCAATGCCCTAAAGGGACACGACACTTAAAAGAACAAAGGGATAAAAGAATCCCGGAGAGATAAATAACACTGTCATATTAATTTATCTTGAAATGGTTCAAGGGATATCATGGCTAATTTTAAACAATTTCATGACGTACTTGTGGCAATGGTTGATGAAAAGTGGCATGAGTCTTGGCAAAGGAAGAAACGCTGCTAGGGTTACGGAGTTTGTAGAGAGCCATGATTGCTAAAGGGACATGACACATCGATGATAAAGATGTAGGTAAAAGAATCCCGGAGAGTTGAATTACACTATTATACAGATTTCTTTGAAAATGATTCAAGGAATATCATAGCTGATTTTAAACAATCTCATGGAGATAAATTCAAATATCGTAGTGGTTTTTCTCAGTTGGATCTCATTTTCCTGATTCATACGATGGCCTAAAACAGGAAAAATGCTTATTTTGCCTGAATAGGTAAAAATGAACAGTTATGCAAATGCAAATCAAATGCAATTTTCACTAGGAGACAAGAAGAAAAGTATATCAAAATACAAATATATCAGATTAAATATGAAGTTACAAATTTAAAAAAGAACAATAATTTTAAAAGCATTCGCTCTTTTGATTTCCGCAAATAATCCACAGTTCTGTCTCTCTTCGATCCCCAACAGTAATCTGCCATCATTATTGGATCCCATTTCCCTTGATATTTGTCCTTCATATCTTGATGGAAGCGTTCATCTTGATCATCCCTTATATCGCCACAGTTTTCTGGAAACCTGTCCAAATGACTATGCAAGAAATGTAATTCGATACTAACCAAGCTTTCGCTAATTTGCTAACATCCGCCGGCTAGTTCTCTATAGTCGTCTGTCTTGCGATTAACAAATTTTTTTTTTTACTACAGCAACAAATGCCAGGACTTTATGTCAGGACTTCAGTCATTTAGTAAGCTTAATTTTCTA